TCTTACTAATGGGTTATTAAAAAAAAAATAACCCATCTACCTGACTTCTTGACTTCTTTTTGAAGATATGTACAAGAGAAGCACTTTGTTTGAAGTAGAGAAGTCAAATAACCGATCTACCTGACTTCTTTTTCCCTCATTAGCTACCATAAAAGAGCTTAGACTGGAGCAACAGTGTTGCGTTAGAATCCTGGACTGGCCACCTAGGAGCTATGTGAAGCTGGAGAAGTTTCTTGACCTCTCATTTTCCTCATTTATGAAATAAAAATAGTACCTATGTCATTAATAGTACCTATTAATTCAAGGGCTAAAAGGGTTACTATTTGTAGAAGACTTCAAGAAATGCACAGCAAGTGCTTTATATTTGCTGAATAAGTAAAATTAATATATTTCAACTTTAAAGAACTTTCATTATATGTATAAGATAAGCACTTTGTTTGCCCCTTAAACACAACACTCATCTTTCTGTTTGTAATATTTTTAGACACCTTTTCATTTAAAAACAAACTGTTTCCCTCAATCTTAATTAAACTTAGAGATTGTACCACATCTTGATTCTTTATGACCTGCCCCAAAGCAGATCTAAAATCCTAATTGCACACTTGTATTACCTTTCTACCTGAAAACATCCCTTTACATCTTTCATTGCAAAATCTAGAAGGTCCTCATCACCACCCAAGGATTAGACTAAAGCAACCCGTCCGAAGAGAGGGCCCTCCAAATAGCACGTGAGAACAGGGCCTCTTTTCTCTCTCCTCTGTGACCAACACCCAAAGATTTCATTGATGGCCTTTGTCCTGACTTTACCAACATGACTCCTTCTTACTTGTGTAAATGTGAACAAACTTTTATATGAATTTTCATACTAGAAAAGTCTGCTCATTTATCACAAAGCATCATTTCAATCACAGGCTTTTTTCATCTCAGACGTGATCAAGAAGAAATGTGAAAAATAATTCTTTTTCTTTTTGCATAGAATCTACTAACATTTTAACAAACTGATTTTTGCTAAAAATGAGCGTAATAGAGCAGTTTTTACAAAACTGAAAGTAAAGGTTTCTCCTGCATCAAAATACAAAGGATTATTTAGCTGACTCCAAGAAGATGGATAAAATTATGATTATAATCATTGAATTACTGAGAAAGAGAAATATATTATACACAGACCAGAAAAGAGAGCAGGAGAGAAAGGTCTGTAGTGGCTTGGCTGCTAGAGGACATTTTTACACTCGTGCCAGCACTCAGTGCTCTTCCCATGAATAAACCATATGTCCATTTTTATACGCTCCCTTTCACTGAGATCCTGCTACTTCACAATGCTCCCTTTGTCCCAGTCCCTGCCTCATCTTCTCCCACCAACTCCACCCCTTGGGTCCCCCACCCATAGCTTCACCTCCTTGGCTAACCAGTATTCGTGCCATAGCTACCAACTTGAACATCTGCTACCTGAAAAAAAATCATCTCATTGCCTAACACCCTCCAAGGCAAAAAGTTTAGAGGATTTCGACATCCTCAAAAAACAGCCCAAAGGTGTGGGGTGGGGGGAAGCGTACCTTTACCAGCTCAGTAAATTCTAAATTCTATGTATATAAAGATTACATGAGTAACGCTTTAAAAATTCCTCAGTGCAAGCAATCTTACCTTACCAACAAAGTCTTTTCTTTCTTATGCACAGACAGAAACCCACACATTTTATTTTATCTCATTTTTGCAACTGTCTCTTTTTCAACATATGAACATATAGAAGAGAAAGTTCTCTATAACTCTAGAGAACAAAATGCCAGTATTTCCCCTCTTTCTCCTGGATGGTTTTCTCATTTTTTTTTCTGTCCCAAAACACTTCCCCAACTGAAAGATAAGGAAATATTTTCACTGAATTAAAGTGAGCCCTGTGTTAAAACAGCTTGCCCGAATCCAACCAGAACCCATTTTTTTAAAACTTTCTTTCAACATTTGGTCAGTAGCTCTCTTCCATCCACACACTGTATCAGCAGACTCTTCTTAAATTCCCATCACCATATACCTTTGCCCTCAAGCTTTTACCAGTCCATTTCCTTGATATGTCTGCACTTAATCTGATTCCATCCTTCATGCTTTTTTCATTATTCTTAGTTCATCCACACCACATAAATTATCACCTTTGTTTTCAGTTCCCCATGTGCCCCCATTCACACCAATTCCAAATAAATACTTCTGATTTTCATCCATTTAATCTAAATGAATTCATACTCCCTCTCCCCATCCTTCATCCCCACCTCTGCCTCCCTCCTGTCTCTTTCTCTTTCTCATAGCACCTACTCTTCCCTCCATGCTTGGCTCTAAGGGTGCAAGGTGATGGCTTCCTGTGTGGTCTTAGAAAAGCCCTGGTCTACGTTAGTGTTAACGTCCATGGCCAATGCTTGCACGTCCAGTCCCACCCTCCACAACTGGTGTCCATGAACATAGTCACCTGCACCCTGAAAGTGCAGGAGTGAGGACAGAAAAGCTTCTTGTTTTTGCTGGTATTTAACTTTGGCTAAGTGGCTTTTGCTAGTTTACATTAAATTGTTTCTTTTCTTTTCATGAAATCCATCACTAATCAACAGCAACAGTACTAACTACAACTAACCCTGTGCTATCGCTCAATAAGCTCTTACAAGTGTTTTACATATAGTTTCTCATTTAATCTTCAAAACAATCTAGGAGGTAAACACAATTGCCCCTATTTTACAGATGAGGAAGATGAGACTTGGTAAAGATAAATAACTTATCCAGGTCATAGATCTAAAAAGAGTCAGAGAGCCAGAGCTCTAACCCAAGTCCACCTGCCTGTAAAGCCCAGCTCTCACCCATTACGCAATGCTGCCTTTCCACTAATGCATGGTGCCTCCCTGAGTGACTCTCCTGTGGAGTCTTTCCACTGCAGTCCGCCACGTACAGAGCAAGTATAGGTGCTGGGGAACATCATGAGCTCCACCTTGATAATTACTGAGTACACAATGCACCAAACAATGCACCAAACAGCACATCGCTCCAAAAAGCTATCCTAACACATCTGTTGGGAAGAAGGGATAAGAAAAGGAAGAAAATGCTCTGGGCTCCCCCTAAAAAGGAACCTCTGCTTCCCCAGAGCTATCCAGCCACCATGCTAGGCAGGACGTAGCCTGTCTTCATGTGAATCATTCAGGAATATGTCCATCGTCATCAATTCCATATCCCTAACAAAACCCAACATTCTCGCTTCATCCTGCTTTCTCTGGTTTCCTGTGGGGAGCGGGAGATGAGTCACGACTGGAGCCTGGAACACAGCAATGTCTTGTCATAACTTTACTAATTGACGTGAGAAAGAAATGGCCTTCACGACAACATCAGAGGAAATAACGCTGACAATAGGGAGCATTAGTTTTGGTGTGTGTGGAGTGGAGAACTTGAACCCAAACTCTGATGGGTAACCGTGAGCGGGACTCTGCACCTGAGCCACAGGACTCAAACATTATGTTGGGAGACCTTCCCATGAACCAAGCAAAAGCCACAAGGGAATTAGTTCAGAATCAGAGAAGTACATGCCTAAGTCCTGTGCTGTGAGGAAGCAGTGTGGGTCCTCACCCTCCCATGGGAATGGCTGTGGTTCAAAATGGTGATTTCTTCCAGTCACATGTTACACATCCCTACTTCAGGAAAGTTCCTCTGTACTGAACAAAGGCATTTCACAGACTCCAGGACAGTAGAGCTGAAAGGGGCTTTAAGAGCCAGATTATATGACAGATGTGGACAATGAGGCCTGGTGAGGTAAAGGGACACACTCAAGGTCAAGGTCACAGAGCTAGTTAGTGGCGAGTTAAAACTAGAACCCAGGTTTTCTGCTCCTCCAGCCAATGAACTTTGCACTGAACATTTCCTTGGTGACACAGTCCGCAAACCACCAAAGAGCACCAGAAAGACAAGCAGTGAACCAAAAAGAACTCTCCCCAGATACCTCCGAGCTTAGAGCATCACCCACTTCTCTCTAACAATACTCCTATTCTGCTGCTTATACTTTTGGAATTTTCCCTATTCAGCTTGTACTGTGCAAGCAGTAGGCAAAAACCAAACAGGCAATACGCTGTCAGGGATTCATTTAAAACCCACCAGTGACAGTAATTGCTCCTAGGATGCTAAGACCAAGAAGGGACACCAGCCCTAAGCTTCCATCTCAAAGCAGAAAACTAAAGACCAGTTTCAAGGAAAATGCCAATCTCAGCCTTTTCTCTGTAAATTCCACTCTTCCAAATTATCCCATTGCGCCAAAGATCAGTATGATTCCTAGGAGTCACTACAAAAGTCCGGAGGAAAACATACAGTCCCCGTCGGTCCCCACCAGCCCCTACCACACACATAGCAACGTAATCACTTCAGCAACTCCTCAGTAACAAGCTCATTAAAAAGCCATTCTGCCATCTCTCCATAAAGCATGCGCCAGAGAACAATGCAAAAGCGGAGATGCCAATTAATTATAGAATGATCGCATCTAATGAACTCTGAAACCCTCCTGCTGTTGGTGACTTTGATGAAAAATCAGGGATGCTGGCAATGGGGACACCCCGGCTACCTTGTCTAACTGAATTCTTTCAAATGTACCTCCTCGGATTACAGTGCTGATAACAACTGCAGAACTACACTCAGAAACAATGAAAAGTGTCAGAAAGTGACAAGTGCATGTATCACGGAGGGCCGTGAGTCACACTACCAGAGCCCCCATTCAGGCATCCTCGGAACTGTCTGATCCTATGCTGTGGGTGGCCCTGCCTCTGAACCCGTCTCACAAACAGGGAGAGACAAACCCGTGTCCCGTGCTCAGGGCATCTGGAGATCTTAAGGTAACAAGTGAGTCATCTGCATCCCCACCCAGGCCCTCCTGCCTCTCTGTCCACCTCCTAGTTGGCAAGGATGTCACTTCTTGGAACACAGAGAAGCCCTTCCCACCAGGAGGCTAAAGGAGGGGAAAAAAGAAGAAATCACGTGCGGCCAACTTGTACCACTACCTGTGTGAGTCCTCTGGTGGGCCTTTAAGTGGGAGCTTTTTGTATAAACTTTCCGGCACCCGTTAAACTGACAGCGGTGAACCCTCTTCTTGTTTTCGGGGCATGCCTCAGCCCCTACCCCTCCTTGCTCACTGTCGCTCTGTCCACTCTTAACTGTCCCAGCTGCCGCCACGGCCGCTGCTGCTGTTGCCACCCCTCCCACCTTGACCGAGCTGAGCGCAGCCTTCTTGGCCACCAGTTTCAACGTCACTGTGCCATCCACGGCTGAGAGGGTCTGTGAGGTTTTGACCAGATGGCGGCTGAGCTCAGGGGACGAGGGGGGCGTTAATGAGGTCACTGCGTTGAGCTGGGCCTGGTTGACGGCTGTGTAGCTGTCTAGAGAAGAGCTGGTTGGCTGGAGACTGAGGCAGGTCTCCGAGAGCAACTTGTCCCGAGAGAGCAAAATGTCCACGGCTGAGCTCTTCTCGCAGATGGCCGCCTCCACCGGGAGCAGCAGGGGGTCGAGGCGGCGGAGGCTGTCCTCGATGCAGGGGGGCGGCGAGGCGCGCAGGAAGCAGTCCAAGTCCTCGCCGAAGGTCTCCGAGATCCTCCGGGGCTCCGTCTGCAGGTAGCGTTCCAATTCAAGGCATGTCTGCAGAGGGGGAGAAACAGCTATCAGAGGCAGAGAACAGCGAGGCCGCGTGCTGGGGGGGGGCTCAGGAAGGCACATCCCATCAGGGCCTCAGGGCTGGGAGGTGCAATTCTCCTGCTGAGACCTGTGACCTTGTTATTTACTCCTTGAACGCTCCTGAAGGGTTCCTAAGGCCACATCATATGAGTTCAACTACCAGAACTGCTGGGAAACTAGAGGCCGGGAAGGGCTAGCTCACACCACCACGGTCCCAGAGAACATTCAATGTTAAATTGACCTGCCCCACAATCCAATTCAGCAGGCGAGATGTTCCACGTATCCCTAAGAGTTCCCATCTAAGCATGAAGCAATGGAATCAAACAAGGTTTTCATACCAAGACAAGACTCCCCAGGGCAACTTCATTTCTTAAGTACATGAGCAAATCACAAAACTAAGCCAATTTTCCAACTTTCTCTGAAGGACAAAGTATGCCCACCCAAACTGACCTAAGGCACAGCAGCCAACATCAAGCCCTGGCTTGGGCGTGGACTCCCCAACCATCAGGAATGAGTATTGTTCTAAAAGAATGCCTTTATAACACCTTTGATGTACAAGACAACTGCCCCCCATTGTTTATAGTAAGTTATTCAAAATACAATTGCTACATATTCTGTAGCAAGGAGCATGTGCCCATTGCAATGGTTTAACATTGCAATAAGTTCAAACATAGCTATTTGACCTGTCAAAGATAAAACCCAATCCAATTTCAACATAAAGCTCTCATCCGGTAAAGAAATAGAGAAAAAGGAACAGAAGGTCAGAGTTTCAACAAATCTTCATCCGTGGTGTACATAAGTCTTTGTAAGATGGTGGAAGCACTTTTGTGGAAAAAATGGGTATTTAAATTTCTGATCTAAAAGCTCTCCTCGTTGAGCATCGACCTAGGATCCAGGAGATCGGGGTTCGATTCCCGGTCAGGGCATAGTGCCTGGGTTGCAGGCTGCAGCCAATCAATGACTCTCATTACTGGTGTTTCTATCTCTCTCTCTCCCTCTCCCTTCCTCTCTCAGAAATCAATAAAGATATATTTAAATAAATAAATAAATAAATAAATAAATAAATAAAAGCTCTCCTCACTTAAAAATCCTACTCTTTCAGATTTTGTATAAAACCATGGTGCTAACTTATACCAGCTCAATTTGTCCTAACTTCTGTACTTCAACAAAGAAATACTGATGGCAAATTTAAATGTGACTAGCTCCTAATTTACTGCCTCCGTAGAGCTTCTATGTTTTCAACCAATCTTCTGATTCTAGTCTTTTATTCTGTTAAGAATATATTTTAATGATATACCTAGTTGTGTTGTATCTGTCAAAGATTTTATTGTGGTGACATTTCAAAAGATTGGTTCTGTAACCAGCCTTTGGTAAAACTCTGCATTACTGAGTAAGAAAAACTGAATTTTAGCTATGAATCACCTTTGGGTCTCACTGTTGGTTTTTAATAGTATAAACTAATGACTGGTTCCAATCTTCATTCAACACTCATGTCACAAGTGTTCATTCAACTACTGTGTTCACAGCAAGGTGCAAGGTCCTCTATGTGTTAGAAGGAGAAGACAGTAATAGGTCCATGTGATGTAGGAACAGAATAAACAATTACAAACTAAAAATGGCATGAGTTTACAAAGCAAGGTGATAGCAAGTAACATAGTAAAGTGTGGTTGTAAGTTCCTAGGAGATGAATGGGCAAGGAATTCTACACTCTATAATGTGGAGGTATTAATCAAGGAAAGCTTATTGGAAAAGTACCTTTGATTCTACTTTACTTACTAATTAAAAAGTAGCCCTTGCCAAGTAGCTTCCCACCACTTTATATTTGAAAACAGCACTACCACCGTCTCAGGTCTAGAAATCTGCATTATCCTCACTTGCCCCTTTTCTGAATTCCATGTCTCAAAAATTTCCCTTTCCTTTCTCCATATCATTGCTGGAAATTATACTTTTCTTCTCTCCAGTATTAAAACCCTCAGTTTTGGCTCCAGTCAATTCACTTCTGGATTAAAAGATCTCACTCCTGAAACCTCCCTTAAACCATCATCCACCAAGCACAGTGTCTGGCACTCCACAGGTACATAATGTCCACAAAACAAACATAAAATCAACTTTACCACTACTTTAATCATTCTAATCTACTCTGCACTACAAAAAAATCATTTGCTGACACCCTGTCCTGGACCATGCTGAGGCTAGCAATCCTAGAAATAACCACTAATACCTGTGTTCTGGAACACAACTGTTGTGCTTCTTTAGCTTTGCCCAAAGGGCAGAACCAGACCTCTGAGACACACGTATGTTCTAGGTAGAAATCAGCTGAATTACAGGTTATAAGCAGTATTTGAGGCAGTTCCCTGCCTCACATGCAAGTACTATTTTACACCCCCAGTCACAACTGTCTGTAGATAGAGCTTTTGTATGCCATGTCCTCTTACATACTTTGTAGCTCAAAGATTTGAAAGACACTAAAAAATTGCTGTGATTGTCAGGAAGCTCATAACTCTTCATATTCAGAGTTCTGAGGAATTGAGATAATCTAAACATATTTGCATATTCTTCTGGGAGGATTAAAAAGTAACCTATCCAGTATGCCCTAGTTTGAGTCCCAGGTGCACATGGTCACACTAACAGTCTAAGTATGAAGATACTTCCCATCACTAAACTGTGGGAAAATCTGGACCACCGAAGAGAGGCTGTCACTTGCAATCTAACAGAGGGCATTCTTGTTCCATCTGAGAATTACAGAAGCATGGGTACCCATTAGGATGTGCTGGATAGCCCTATGAAATCATTGTGGAACATTTTTTGTCTTGAGAAATCTACTTTTTGTAATATCTGCTAGAGATAAAGCTTAGATAGAGATCTGTCAATCAGAAATTCATCAAGAGTGTTGGAGATTATAATGTTAAGAATGAGGAGGGTTTTAATGTTAGATTATTTCTAAGGCGAAGAGAAAGTTAGTCTCCAGTGTTGTTTTTTAATGATTACAAGAACTACCTTAAGAAATGCCTATGATGTTTAATTAGAATCTGAGGTATCATTTACACATAGATTTTAATACACCCACACAGAGGTATATACAGAAATAAATGTGTATATGCATGTATGAGTCTACAGACATATATTGCCTTGCTTTGACTATGGGGAGAATCTACAAGCAAAGACACCCCAGTAGCAGTGAACACATCTGGCACTGAGATCTTGGTTTCTAAATATCGCTATCCAATAACGAAACCAGGACTCCTTGAAGAAATAGTTGATTCAAAGGTTGGGTCAAAGAATAGAAAAGATGAGCCTAGAATATCTTGTGGTACCAGAAGGTAAGGAAGTGCTCAGAAAGTAATGGTGCTATGTCAAAGAGACTCAGGAGTCAACTTGAAGTTGCTCTGAGTGACCAAATCTGGACAATATGAACAACAAAAATGAATAATGACAATAACAGAGTCTAATCCATGGAGTAAAATTAATATCTATGACTCCATAGTGATATAAATAATTGAATAAATAAACAAAGAAGGGTCAGCTCCTTGTTACAGTAAAATTACAATTAATAAACATAGAAGGAATGATGGAAATAAAAAATTTCCATTAGGCAAACAACAAAGTAATAATGACTATATAAAGGTAAGAATCACCAATGAATGTTAAAATTAGTAGATGGAAATATAATGAGAAACAAGATATTTGCCTAATCTCAAAGTGTACCTCCCAACAAAATATTAATTACAAAGACAAAAATTAATAATTTTACAGTAGAGAAACCTGGCATGTACCACCTTAACCATATGATCAAAGTTGGCAGCACTAGTAATAAGACCCATTTATATCATGCACCCCCGATATGATAGGCTGACAAGGACACAACCTTATTCTGTGTCATTCCTGCTAAAAATACATAACCTCCATCTAATCAGGAGAACACATCAGACCAATCCAAATTGAGGGGCATTTTTACAAAATAACTAGCCAGTATTCTTTAAAAGTATCAAGGTCATGAAGAAAAAGGAACACTGAGAAGCTGTCACAGATTGAAGGAGACTGAAAAGATATGACAACTAAACGCAATGAATCCTGGCATGGATCCTGGATTTTAAAAAGGACGTTGGTAGGGGAAAATATGTATTTCAAATAAGGTACATAGATTAGTTAATGGTATTGTACTAATGTTAATTTCATGGTTCTGATGGTTGTACTAGAGTTATGTAACATTAGGTGAGGCCGAGCAAAGTGTATATGGGAACTTTATTTACTATTTTTGCAACTTTTCTGTCAGTCTAAATAATTTCAAAAGAGAAAGAGAATAAAAGAAAACACCCAACATCAAACTAGGAGTATCTCCAGATTGTAAATTTGGATACGGAGTTCAAATATTTGTTCATCCACCAAAACGAAAGATTTACTCTGTCCCAGTGACCGTGTAAACAGCACACTCCAAATTGGAGCTGGCAGATCTCAATTTAATGACAAATTATGTATGTCTGGTACCTCATCTTGGAGAAATGAGGCTCCCCTCAGCCTCACCTAACAATATGTCTAAAGGCTTAAGTCACTGGCTCAACCTCTACCCCCTCAAATATCCATTAGAGTCAGCAATGTGAAGGAAATGTGCCCAGTGGGACGTGATTTTCTTACTGACTCACAGATGAGCTCTTTGAAGGCTTCTGATACCTCAACTTTGAAATGCATGGTTTCTTCTCCTATTTCCTAACATATAATACATGAAATTAGTTTTGAAATGATCACTTGAAATCTTTTTAAATACCTTCTCCATTTTGTTCATAGCCTTATTACTTGTTAAAATATGTTTAAGAAAAGAGCTAATCCAGGACCCAGTTTAAAAAAAAATTCAAACCTATTACTGCCATGCCTACTACTTCTATGATATGTTCCAAAGTCAGACGCTGAGGGAGAACAGGATACCCCATGTCTTGTAGCACAAATTAAGTTCACCAAATCTCTTTGCT